ATAGTCACTGAAAAGACATCCATCTCCTTACTTCTAAAGCAAAACAAAAATATTGAACATTAGGGCAAAGGACAAGAATTTCAAGGTTTTACCTTTTGACTTTTGCAAATATTTGCCACTATTTTTCTTAATGATTTTGCTGTCTGACTTGTTTTTTACTTTGTTCCTCATGCCTGACAATTTTAGTTTTCAGGTTTCACTATACCTGTCAAGAAATAAGCATATATATTATTCTCCCTGAAAGACCAAAATAGTCTTTTCTTAAATTTTTTTTTTGTGGTGCTGGGGATGGAATCCAAGGCCTGTGCATGCTAGGCACATTCTACCACTGAGGTACACTGTCAGACATCCTTCCCCAAAAATTATTTAAATTTCCCTCCAGAAGTGGCCTGTGGGAAGACCTTGGTGTTTACTTGGGACATAGCGGGAGGCCCGACTCACTCTTCCACCTTCTGGTTGGTTTATAGGTCAGGCTACATCCGCTAAGGATACTAGTTTGAAAACCCAGAGAGCAGATTCAGTGTTTTTAAAGGTTACATATGCCCTAGTACTAAGTTAAAAATGGTTTGTTACTGTAATTCTGGTAAATCAGGACACTTTTGGGACTCTGAAGGAACTGCCCAAGTCTGCAAATTCTGGGCTAATTACAACTTTAAATGTTGTAGTACAGTAATGTAGTAGACACCTTTTAAAAATATAGTTTATCTTTTCCCAAACTGAATAAGGATGAAAACTACTTCTTCAAACTGTGAAGAATATAGTGATCATACCATATGAAATAAATGTAGACTTACATGGAAATAAATTATTTTCCAGAGAATAAAGTACAGTACCAGCTACTTTCCATACCAAATCCTACTATAAGGACACAAAATTGGAATTTATTATATTTTTTAAACTGGCAGTATCCTTCTTTGTGCGTGTGTGTGTAGTGCTGAGGCTTAAACCAAAGGGTTTCTGTGTGCTAGGCAAGTGCTTAACCGCTCAGCTACAACTCTAGCTCCATCTTTTTAGCTTTTGTTTATTTAATTACATTAACATCATTAATGATTTGGTTATATGGCAGATCATTAATTTAATTACATTAGAATTACTAAAAATGAGGTGTTTCTTTTGAACTGTTTATTTGAAATAAATTATTTTGCTGAGTGAGAGCCAATTTATAAGTTGTTCTGCTAAAGGAAATGAGCCAGTGGCCGTCTCAGCTGTATTTATCATTGCATTTTATAACACTGAAAATGCAGTTTAATGGTGTGTATAGTGGTGGTTTTGACTCCCATAGGAGCCCAAGTAGGTAAATGAATAAAAGTAGGGTAAAAGAGAAGTCTGTGCTGCCCGTTGCCACCACAAGTATACCCAATTAAGAAGATATTTGAGGGTTACCCACTCTTTGATTTCTTAGGGGGGAGAGAATATTCTGAAGGACAGATTAGGGAACGGTTGCTATGGCAATCACATTCAAAGAATCTAGAGGAGACAATGAATCCCTGGGGATCATCCATTTTGATTGATTCAACTGGTCTTTTAATTTCGCTCAAACAGCTGTTGTCTCTGGATTTTATTTTTCCACATAATTCACCCCATTGATCGGTGATTTGGGGATCTTTTAAGTTTGGTTTCAAGTACCGATATGGTCATCAATGTCTTTGACCAGAATACTTTTGTTAAACCTGAAGGAAAATGGTGGTATGTATTAAATATCACTAAAAATATTGTGGCCTGGTCAGGAATAATATAAATGGTTTGTCTAATTGAACTTATTAATTCTGTTGGGTATTTAATAGCTAGATTGTATACTCTGAACTCCAAATTTAAAAAAGTACATAAAGCAGGCACAGGACCAATAACCGTGGAGAGTTAGTTAATAAAGTAAGTATAATATTCAGGACATTCCCCGCACATATACAAACAAAGTAATAGTAGTTTCTGACAGATAACCTTAAAGGGAAAAGAAAATGGAAGCTAAAGCAAAATAACAATGCAATAAGAGAATATGTAAAATACAATGAAAATCGAAGTTCAAAATTCTAGTACAATTTCTCATAATAATGTAAGAATACTACAAAAGTAAGTAATGTAGGTAATATAAAGACTGATCAAGAATGCAACATAGGGCCAGGGGAATAGCTCAGCAGAATAAGTGCTTGCCTGGCAAGTGCAAGGGCCTGAGTTCAATCCCCAGTTCCACAAAAAAAATAAATGCAACATAAAAGATAAACATACTAAGCTTCAAATACATTGAGGTTTAATGGTAATGCTAATCAAAATTGTAATTTATTGTGTACCAAGCAATGTGATATTTGTACTTTTATCTTTAAAACATGTATATTTTTATCATTAAAACATTCTTGTAAGTTAAAAAAAAAATTCTGTCAGGGTGGGATAAGATTAACATGATGTATTTTAAAGCATGACTGACCGTGAAGTGTTTAGGTTTTATTTTGGATTACTTTTTGTCATCACATTTTACCCAGTGCATTTGACTGCTGCTCTGTTTTTATTCTGTGACTTGTACAATATTGCCAACACAATTTGTATTTGTATTTGTATTTGAAAGATTGAAAAGTAGATACAAATATAACCACTAAGAGTGTCTTCATCCTCAGAGCTCCAAGTAGTGTTACACTCCTACAGACAACAAAGAGAAAAGGAGGCACAAATTCAAGTCGTATCTCACTGTAGGTTTTTCTCCTTTGTAGGCTGATTCTGAGGCACTGGGAATCGAACTCAGGCCCTTGAGGTTGCCAGGCAGGCTCTGTGCCACTGAGCTATATCCCAGACCCTGTAGACTCATTCTTGTTGGGGAACCCATGAAGTATGGAATGGAATGCTACTCACTGAGGCCGGGAGTGGGACCCAGTGTGAGAGCTTTGCTTCTTCTACCTTCCTCTTCTGCCCCCTGGAGGATGTCAAGGAACATGAAATGCAAGGATGTCCTCTGAAAAGGATAGGGAACTGCTTTGGTTACTAAAAGATAATTGCCCTGTCCCTTCCCCAGTTATAGCCCTCCACACCAGAATTTACAGGGGCAAAACAGAGAAGGCAGGGAGAGCATTGGCTGGACTGAGATCTTAGGAAGGAAGCTGTTCTGTCTCTTTAAGTAGAGGCCCAGATTCTGTCAAGTAGAAGCCAGTATGAATTGTGTCCATCTCCAGGAAAAATCAATTCCAGAAGGGTGAGTAAAATGAAATAGGATATTAAGACCGGAGTGCGAGGGATTCAGGTTGGAAGTTCAAATGAGGTTGAATCTAAGAAGTATGTTTGATGCCAAGTGTTTGCGGCAGTATGGGTATTTATTATACAGATTTGATAGCATTGTGACATTTCCTGCTAACCTGTTAGTGATAATTATGTCTGTAGTACTCAGTGAAAGTCTTACATGCAATAACCTCTTTGTGAGGTAAGTTGCCATTGTAAGGCTCAGAGGGTTTGGGCAAGTACTAGGAGGTGGAGCTAGTATTTTAACCCAGATGGACTGACTCCAGTAGCCTGGCTGTTTCAGCAGCTGTGCCAGGCTGCCACCCTGCTGGAGCTGTGTGGAAGGGTGTGGCACTTTCTAGAAAGAGTGAGTTCCATATGAGTGGGGCGTGGGTGGCAGGAGATGAGAAGGAACAGGTTTTTTGTATATGTTACCATGCTGAGTTAGAGAGAGAGAGAGAGAGAGAGAGAGAGAGAGAGAGAGAGAGATTTGTTTCCATGACCAAAAAGCTTAAAAGTCTTGGCTGTAGGACAGCCAAGATATACCATGAAATATATAATCCGTATTTATATTATATACCATAAAATGTATAATATGTATTTATATGATGGAGCATGAAAATATTGCCCCTACTAAGCATCAGTGGGAAGAGGAGTTGAAGGTGTTCCTTTGAATTCAGTCACTTTAGTTTCTGAATGCTAGCACCACAGATTTGGTTTCCACTGACTGTCAAGAGCCCTGTCCCAGTAGTCAACACTTTTGTCCATTTTGAGTTGAGAATTGTCCTCAACTGTGACAGCTGTCATTTAGATTTCTTAGAACAGATGAGTCCGTTAGCCTATTTAAATAATGGGTCCAGCTCTTTATTGTCCAGTTCCTTAATAATTCTTAAATCTGTAGCCACTGCCTGTTTGGTGGACAGTCTGGAAAGGGTTGGTGGAGGGGGGAATTTCAAGCCTGATTATAATCCCCAGTTTCTGTTTGGCCTGTTTCCATCAGTACTTCTTGAGAGTCTCCTGCTCACCAGGCACTGTTTGGGGGGGGCAGGGCAATGAAAAAGCAAAGGGGGAGCTGTCTCTTCCTCAGGTGGGATGGGGCGGTGGTGCGTATGGGCCCATGGGGACGTGGGCCTGGAGACAGCAGCACATTGTCGCAGCACGTTGTCGCAGATGGTGTCAGGGCTGGGAGGAGCACAGGGCACACCTGTGTCCTAGCGCTGTGCAGCCAACCACACTGGGATGAGCCCCTCACTTGCCTGCATCCTAATCCTGTTGTTGATTGGAGATAACTTCAGTGGTCACGCGGCACCTCATTGCCATGGCAACACCTCTAAATATTCCTCTGGTGACTTGTGTTCTACATTCTAGCTGGATCTGAGCCCTCCCGTGGCAAAATATTCTAAAGATGTTAAAAGAGGAAAAAAAGCTCAACTAATAAATCTATTCTAAACGACTGAGTCATTTGTTTTGATTACCCGGGTGATTGCCAAATGTTAATTTAAAACTGAAATAGGCCATGAGCTCACTCCCCTAACAATGCTGAGTGTTTGAGCTAATACAGCTTGATAATGAGGGCGCCAGATCCACTGCCAGTGCTAATGTTATATGATAAACAGACATTTGGAGACATATGCAGGATATCTTGGCAGTTTTCTGTTAACTCTAAGGGTTGTAAATAAAGTAGAATGTGTTACCATGAGCCATTTCAAAGAAAGTTGACTTTTTTTTTTTTTTTAGAATTTATGACTTTTCTTCTAAAAAGGCAACTTTGACTCTCGACTCTCATTTTTTTCCTAACTTAGGCAATTGGAAGCTGTTCTCAGCTATATCCAGCCCTTACCGAATACATCCAGCGCCCCACGCGTCCAGTGTGAGGTAAGTTTTACTATTGCCCCAACAGTCTTACGCTGTGCTGATCTCTGTCCTTCCAATTTGTAGTGTGAGGGGCAGCATTTATTTGAGCTTTATGCAGGAGGTTTTAAAGGGTTTTATTTGATGGCTGCTTGCCCCAGTGAGCTCAGCTGATGAGACTCTTCATTTATTCTTATTTTAATTGACCCCACCAATATCACTGCTTCCCCTAAATATTAGCCCTGTTGGGAATGACTTTACAAGGGAAAACCTCATTTACTTTGAACCTGGGGGCAGGAAAACTGAATCTGCCACACACAGCAGACCCATTAGGAGGTTTGATTGAAAATAAAGACCTGTTCATTTCACAGCATGAACAGTAGGGAGCAGGAAAGCTGCATGGAGCAGATCCTGGGACTGAGAAGGAGACTCCTGCTGCCCAGAGATGCTGTGTGGGCCAGACCAAACAGCAGGAATCTCTCTGCTCTGGGTAGAATACGCACAGATATCCAGTTGTCACTGTAAAATACAGTGATAGGAGTTTCAAAGAGTTTCTTTAGAGTCACATTAGTATGTGCCAGCACATTTAAAAACATTGCCCTCCAGTTCAGAGCAGCTCTGCTGCATCAGTGCAAGCAGCCAGACTGTCTAGAGCTTTTATTTCACCGACCAGGCACCTGAGTTTTCCTGGTGACCCACTGTCACCTAAGATCAGCTGTGGAATTTTCTCTTAGTGGCATTATGTCCTGAAAAAGCTTCACATTTTGGAGCACTGTGGATTTTTAGATTTTCAAATTAGGCATGATACCTGTTCATGCACATAAATATTTTAAACTTCAAAGAGTAAAAATCATGGGACAAAGTTTTAGAAATATTTAATCTGAATTTTCTCCTTTTCCGCAAGTATGGTGCTAGGTGGAATCACTCCAAAACAAAAGCCAGGCTCATTTGAATATGCTGATGATAAAAGCTTCCGCAGCTCAGGGCAACTGCGTGCTCGCCCTGAACCTTCCCATAGCTTTCACTCCGAGCTAGCCTTTCCTTCCCACAGTTATTTCTAAACTTTAAAAACAGTGTCAAAACTTTTCTTCAAAAGATCATAGATCTAACCTCAGTGAAACAAATCAAAGCACAACTACTTTGGCTCAAGTAGGAGGCTGTGACTCTGTCACCCTCCTCTGCGGTACCCTACCGTGTCCTGCCTAAAGAGCAAAGCTTTTAGCCCTGTGCATTTTTACAGCTCTTATTTTTACTTTCCCACAGAAACACAGTAGATTATTTAAGTAAAATGTCCTCCTGCCAGCTTAGTTGGAAATGCCCGCTAGTTGGAAGCTGGCAGTCCTCAGGCGCTGTCCGCCCTAGGAGCTCAGCACCAAGCTGCAGTTTTGCAATGCTTTGTCAGTGGAGAACCTCCATAGGAACTATGCGCAGAAGGCTGGGTTCTTTAACTGGGTGCGTTGAAATTTTCAAACTCATATTTGAAGTGGTTTTCAAATACCAAGGACACCCTAATGATATCTGAACTCGGACCCAGATTTTGTGGCGTTTAAGTTTTCTTCGAGAGCAGTGAACTTCTCAAGTGAGTCAGTTAAAAGGGATCTCTCAAGTTGTTTCAGTGTGACAGAAATACATAGGATTATGCAGTGGCATATTGTGTTTCTTCCATTCCTTCTACCCGACTGTGCGTCACTCCAGGAATGCAGTAGTATGCAAAACAAAAAGAATAATATTTTGGGTATGATATTCAAGTGTAGGGTATCCCTAGATTATTTTTTTCTTAGCAGATGAACAAACTGACTTTGCTTTTTAAAAAAATGACACTTCCCAGTGTTAACTAGATCAATTCAAAGTCCCCATCTCTACTCTGCTCTTTGAGCCAGTGATTTATGCCACCTCCACATAAGCATGTACAAATAGTAAAGTACGTTGGGGATACAGCTGTGCCCAGGGCCCAAAGGAAAGCAGATGCTAACTGTTCACCTTATACTCTACTTTTTTTTTTGTTGTTTTTCCTTTTTTGAGACAAGGTCTCACTGTGTAGTTTAGGTTGCCCTTGAGCTCATTATGTCATTCAGGCTGGCCTCAAACTCAGGACTGTGCTCCTGCCTTAGCCTTCTGAGTCCTGAGATTACAGGTATGTGCCACTACACCTGGCTTGCACTCTATTTATTTAAGTTTGCTTAGAATAATTGAACACTTTAAGAACTTGGACCTTCTAGTTTACATACAAAGACACTTAGGTTTTTAAAACATACTGTCTCCTTTTAAGTTTAATACTGTACTTACCATAGATAAACTTTATAATTCTGAAACTTGAAATTATTCCACTTGTCTTTTAGTTGATGAAATTATTTGGAACACAGACTTAACCATAGCATAATCTTTATTTTTAATATTTTCCCTTTTTTCTTTCTTTTTTTCTCTTTATTAATTTTATTGAGAAACAAATAGTAATGGGACAGTTTCAAAACAGGATACTAGGACAGCTGCAGTAATTAATACATTGCATATTGTTGTCTTCATAGTAGTTATTCAAGATACAGACATGATATCCCATCCAAACACCACTAGCACAAATCTTTCTTCTCACTGAATTAAGAGAAAGTAGTTGCATATCTAGCCCAACCATTCTGTATACACAGTTACAAAATGGTCCGTCATCCACATCTGAACTGAGCATAATCATTAACATATACATGAGCTGCGCTAAATAGTTCTCTGTACTCTAGTAATAAAAATATTGTTAATTAATTAAACATATTTTGCATCTAGGAAATATTTGTATTGGTGGCATATGGTCATTTTCAATATTAATTTGGCAGTTTTTAATATTCGCAAAACAAAATAATAAAAGACAGTAGTCATAATAATTTGCTATGTGTGCTATTGCTAATTGGTATGACCATTCTCAGAGCATTAGTAGCAGACATTCAGATTAGCACAGATGGGGTACCCAGGCTTGAAGAGTTTCAAAATCATCCCTCTAGTGCCAAGGTCACAAACTGGTGGGCTGGATCTGGCATACAGAGGTGTTCTTTTCAAATTTCCAGTGAACTGCCAGCATTTAAAAATTGAGAGATTTTACATTTTTGACAATCCAGATTTTTAAGCTTCTCTTGAAATACAAGACGATCTGGCAACGCTGCAGCTGCATTCCTGTTTGGCTCTACTAGGCTGGAGCCAAATTGCCTCTGTTCCATGGATGGAGCGCGAACTCTGAGGCGGTCTCCAGCACTCTCTGCTGTCTCCCTGACACTAAGGATAAGGGGTACACGCCATTACCTGAGTGTTTCGCTCCTGTACAGATGTGAGTTTTCAAAATCAGGTCTAGGTAGAACGGAGGTTGCTGACAGAAGGTCATCCTCTCTTAGAAGGTCAGCTTGTGGATTTGCAGGTTCACTGTTGAGTGGTGTTCATTTTAAGGGAGCACTTTAGAGCATTTAATGATAAACACTTTGGGGCGGGATACATTCCCACAGTACCTGATTTAAGAGAAGGCGCCTCCACGGGCACAGGCATTTTATGTCACGCTGGAAGATCCCTGTGGTCTCCCTGCCCTCTCGCCAGTCTTTAATGTGCAGACCCTGACAGCACCTCTGGAGAGGCCTGAGATTCTGCAGTTCCTGTGAGCAGCGGGTTATGCTGCCCCTATTTTGAGGACCTATCTTTGAGTAGCAGCAGGTCTTTAACTCAAAGGAATCACAAGAAAAACCAGGCAGTAATGGTCCTTTGGCATGAGAAAGATTTTTATGAAGGCTATTTCAGGTGGAATCTTCCTAGATAAACCTTAGTTCTTATCTGGTTGCAGCAAAATAGGTGTAAATCAATGATTTTTTGGATAACATGTAGCATATGTTAGAAGATAAATTTTTGTTTGAATTTTTCTTCTAAATTATGTTTTTATTAAAAAAATAGATATGTTTATGCCCAAGAATCATGAAGCAGGGATTATACCTATCAATATTATAGGAGAGTATAGGACTTTCAGAGAGCTTACACGTGAGGCAACAGGAACTAGGATAATGATCACATCCCTCAATATGTAACAACCTGCTAAGGTATTATAGTGATAGAAAAGTCAGAAAGGAAGGGACAACAGATTCTAATACATGCAGCCCTACTGTGGAAAAAATTTAACTATGATTAAAATGAAAGGGAAAGTTTACCAAGAAAAATTTGCTGCACATATGAAAAGACAATTACAGTCTATATTACCCAGAACCCACACAGACTGAGAAAGGCACACACAGGCCTGGCACGAGGTGGGTGCTCCGTTGGCAGGAGAAACTGTCCAGTAGGTAGATAGGTCAAAGGCATTATTATTCACATTCCATCACACAGTGACTGAATGCATAGAAAACGGTCTAGCCTCCCTACTATGTTAGAGACAAGTGTATTCAAATATCTTCAAGGTAACTTTCCACCTATTAAGCCAATAAAAATGAAAAGGAAACTTGATGCAATGGATTACCTGGAGACAGACTCTCACTTCTCGCTGGTAGCATTGTAAGTTGGTACAAAGCTTTTTGGAACATATTTTGGCAAAAGTCACAGATCGATGCCCTGTAATCTAATAATCCTATTTTGGAAAATGTGTTCTAATAAATACATTATCCCAAGGAAAAAGAAAATAACTGTATGTTATAGGTGTTCATCACAGGGCTGTTGTGAGAATTCAGAATTAGAACCAAATTCAAATGTCTAACATTAGAAAAATGGTTCATATATTGAACAAATAGTTTTGGTTAAGTAAATTGGGGTACATCTTTTCAGTGGAATTCCATGAATTTGTTAAAAATCACCATTTTGGTACTGGCACAGAACTGTGAGTTCATATAAAGTAACCTTACTGAAAAAATGCAGGATGCAGAAGGGTAGATGCGTTGTGGTTGTACCTGTGCAAAATGAGGTGTACGTGATCTAGAAGGCATGTGGATGTATGTAAGTATCACTTTGGGGATTTTTTTCATGGTGTTTTTATAAGTTGCTGTAGCATTTGCTTCCTTAAAGCTTGAGAGAATGGC